TGGGAGTGCTACCCACCCTTCTTTATTTTTGGGATCCCTCATATTTAAGATTCACATTGCATTTCATGCGATGACAATATAAATCGAGTGCATTTAGCACGATATAAGTATAAATCGAAGGCGTACGTGGCTCCAGCTCACCATCTGTGCCAGCCGGAGCCAGGTGGGGAGGGAGGGTGAATGCACCTAAAAAGAGGAAGAGAAGCAGGATTATGAGAAAACAGAAGTTGATATATTTCTTCTTTTCTTTTTGCTTAGGAAAGTTTGTTTTACTCTCTCTTTAGTTGCTTTTTTTTTCCCTTCATTTGGTGTTCTTTTTTTTTTCTCTCTATTTTTTAGGATGTTGATGCAACGTGGGGTGTCTTTTCAGCTTAATTTCGTTTTTGGTGGAAGAGTTTTGCTTGGTTTTTTTCTATCTAGAAGAAACCTTTCAGAATTGGATGGTTCTTTAGTCTCTCAAGATGGTCCAAATACAGCAAGAAGACGATTGGTTTAAATCAATGAAAATCGTGTACGACATACGTAAAATTTACATGTTGACCCGACATTAGTAAATTGAGACATATGTCGACTCCTATTTCTTTTGAACTAAGTGGGACCTGGAGTCAAAATGTTTCTTCTATTATTGTATTCTTTTCTTTAGTGTAGCTAGGTTATCTTGGACTTACAGATTTGATCTTGACGGACTCAATTAAGGTATTAGTTTTTGTTCTATTAGACAACAAAGATTGCATTTTTTTCCCTTCGTTCAAATAAGAGTTGTACCCATACGGAATTCTTCTGTTTCTTCCCTTTATCAATTCTTCTATCCCACCTAGGTCTATGAATTTCTGTATCAATTCTATTACCTTATACTTACCCATGAGGTTCCAACATTTGATCCTTAATTGACCTAGGAGTTGTTCCCGGGTATCCTCAAAAAAAAGGTTTTTATACATCCCAACCTCCTCCCTTGGAAAGAAAAAGGTAGCACCGAAGAAAGGAAAGAGCGAGATGGTTGTTTTTGTTGTTCCCGCGAAACGAAGATCATTCGCTTGGCGAATGAAGTGGGTCAACCTCTTTTTGGCTTCGGCCAAACACTTTTTCTCGCTGGTCGAGCTTTCTACAAAAAAAGCGATGCGAGAACGTATTCTCTTAGAACCATAGTTTCCATAGATACCTCTCTCTTTCAAGAGAATTCACATCATGTCAAGTCTTGGTAAGGTTCTTCGTTTGCATCAATCACTTGAATCTCTTCCGTTTCATCACTCAATGAATATATTTGTTTCTTTATTTTTTTGGTTTTTCTATGAACGTAAGAGTTTGAATATACAACTTTTTGATAGACATACCTTAACTAACTGAGTTCGAATAAACTTCAATAAATAATTATTAAAACTAAGGAAAATACACTTTTGGTCCCTGAAGTTTGAGGTGGATGTCTATTTGGTCCCTAAGATTTTAAATTGGACATTTTTAGTCCCTGAAGTTTAGAAAATAGTTTAAAATGGTCCCTAAGTTAATTTGACCGTTAGTTGACTAACAAAAGAATGATGTGGCAAGATTAGGTGTCAAAATTTTGAATGAGTTGTCAAGTTTTACTAATTTTATATTTGTTAGATTACGTGGCTTTTTAATTTTTTTTTTTACGTTCTTTTCCTCTCTCCTCTCTGCCCCATCCTGATCTTTCTCTTCCTCTTTTATTAATTTTTTTTACTTCGACGAAGCCCTGAAGACGGCCAAAAACAAGTTGATCGTGGTTGAAAATACATAAATTAACTTAGGGACTATTTTGAATCATTTCCTAAACTTCAGGACTAAAGATCAAATAGACATCAAGTTCAAACTTCATACACGAAAAGTTTGTTTTTACAAAAAAGAAAAAAAAAACTATTATATCACACCAATTAAAGTAGCGAAACAACCCACGTCACTCTCCTCACCAAACGTTATTGCCCACGTCAGCATCCTCCCCCAATATAGTATCCTCACATTCAAATCCTTGGCCTTGTCTCGCTGTCCCCTCCCCCTACTAATTTATTATTTTATTTATTTATTATAATCTCATTTTAATTTAATATACTACTCTACCCAATCAATCGTACGGCTATTGTTGCTCCACCTCAAACCATACCACCCAACCAAAAATAAATAAAATAAATAATCCCATTGCACCAATTTCCTCCGTTCGTACCCTTTTCTATAATCGAGCATTACAGATCGTCAATTTCAACATTATTTAGGGGTGCTTGGGATACTGTTTTTAATAAAATTAGTATTTTTTTTTTCTCCTTAAGAGCACTTTTGGAGGAAATATTAATTAAGAGATTCAAAGTATTATTTAAAAAAAAAAGAAACAAAATCGATAAAAAAAATATTTTAAAAATCAAATTTATTTAAAGGTCTTCTTGAAAAAGAACTTGGAGAGATGATTATCTAAAAAGTGGCTTTAAATTAATGGATTGAAAATCACTTCAAAAAAAATAAATTTATACGTGTTGGTAGAATTGCGCTTTTGAAGGTAGGTAAATTTGTTAGTAAAAGTACTTTTAGTAAAAATATTTTAAGAACAAAAAAGATGTCTGAGAAATGTCTGAAAAAGATGTCTTGGATTAAGATACTTGTGAATAAGATGTTTGAGAAACAAAGATAACTGTGTTTGGTTGTATATATGTCCGGGATTAAAATGTCTGAAAATAAATTATATATATGTTTATTTTGTGTAATTGCTCTAGAAATATGCATTTTATGTCATTGTAAACATTGATTAATAACAAATCAAATTTAAATAAAAAAATAAATCGCTATATTGACAATTTAGCACAATAATCAATTGAATAATTAATATTAAATGTTATTTAACTAAAATTCAATAGGTAGATATTTAGTAAAATGATATATTTGTATAAAGCTTTAAAATCAATCTAGATTAACTCCCAATAATTAATTTATGTTAATTAATTTATCTTTATTAAGTTAAAATAATTATTATTTTAAGCAATTATGTTTTAAGGTAAGTTTCACTCTTTAATAAATATATTATAAAAAATATACCTAAATTTATGTTGTTGATTTTATTTAGCCATCAATCTTAATAATTATCCTTTTATCCTTTTATGTGTTTAATAAAATTAATAATTTTCATCAACAATTAATTATCATTCTTATAAAAAAAATTAAGTATACTCTTTAATAAATTAATTTATTACAATAGAGTAATGAATTTAGTACATTATTGGTAAAATTTTAATGTTGTTTTATTAATTATAAATTTAATTTACTTATTTTAACTAATTTTAATTAATTAATTAATTTGAATAAAATAAAGTAAATAATTACATTTAAAAAATTTTATTTAAAAGTGGAGAGATAAGAGTATGGGACAAAACTATGGACAAACTCATGAATATGTGAGGGAAAAGAAAGCCTTTGTCCACGGGAATAAGGGATGCTGCTTTTTGATTTGATTGAAGGGAAAAATTACTATTTATTAGTTTAGCTAGCGTTCCGGGAGAATCGAGTCATCTAGTCAGTTCATAACAATCTCTATAAAGCAAGAGGCAAAGCTTCTACGACAGCTTCCTCCTTCGTCACTTTTGGCTAAGCATCTTTCGACGGAGGTGACTAGTTGCTTCTAGCGAAGCTGCAAGTTCATGAGCAAGTTGATTGTTCCCAGGTACCCCATGAATATTGATACCTTAGAGGTTAAGGTCTCTAAATGTGGTAGGTTGATTTTTTTTTTTAGTATAATAAATGTGAGATATTAAAACTTTAACCTCCAACTTGAAAGAAAGAAATATATGTCACTTACGAGTTGTGCTTATTCTGGCTTGATGGTTGAATTCACATCATTTACCTATGTGATGTAATATTCTAAAATAATTTATAAACTATTATCATAAGTATTATAAATATTGGATCCTCATACTAATACATATTGGCTGAATTTGTGTAATACTACTAGCATTTCATTAATAATATTAACGATAATAATTGAAAATGTATAGTTCTCAAAAGCCTAGTGATGTAACCAACTTAAGCATTATTGAATAGTTAAAACCTTATCAATTCTCATAAAGTTGATTGTTCAAATTCATACATCCACATATTTTTGTAATGCAATATTATGAAGAGAAAATCTAAGGTCTAATTAGAATATAATATGGGTTACATACTATTTTCGTCGTATAGTTTTGACTTTGGTTCATTTTGATCTTTATATTTTTTTTACTTTGGTTCATTTTAGTTTTTACATTTTCAAAATATATATATTGGTCCTATACTTTTAAAAATCGATCAATTTAATTATTATTTGTAAAATTTGATACACAAGGAGTATGTGTATTCAAAAAAACTTACAATCCAAAGAACCAAACAACCCAACCCAAACTGTGGTTAGATAAAGACTTGATTTGGGTTGGGTTACTATTTCAGTGAACCGAGCGATTCTGCTCAGTTTTCGAGTTTGAAGAAATCGGTTTAACCCGAATTGAACCGAACTGAACCAAACTGAAATTATAAATAAATTATTATTATTATGATTTAGGGTTTCATTCTTCCCAAATGTTAGCCTCTTCTTGACTTCTTCTCAAATCGCAACCTTCAACTTCATCTTAGCTCCCCTCGATCTTCGACTTCATCCCAGTCGACTTTATATCAGCGATGCGAAGTACGATGATTTCATGATTGGAGTTTCTGTAAACATTGTAGTAAATACTTTGATTGTTGATATTAATAGTAGGGTTTTTATCATCCCATCTGTTGCTCCTAATTTTTAAGGATGAACTTGCTCAGTTGATTAAAATCTTACAACCTAATGACCCAACTCGAAAATATAATGGTTTGATTGGGTTACCACCAATATATTTTCAAGTTTGTCAAAAAAGAACCTCTTTAAGCCCATCAAAGCCTACCCAGGTAACAATGACCTCTTTTGATTTTATTATCATTTTTATAATATAAAAACGAGAATGAAGATTCGAACTCAGAAACAGCAGCAGAAGTCAATGATTGAGGCATTTACCTCCTTCCAGATGTTTTGCTAAATAAATAAACAGAGTCTCTTTTACGGGGAACCAAAGGCAAAGGCCGTGCAGAGCTACATTATTATACACAGTTTTAGGGGACCCTTAGCATTAGCCATAGCCATGGCGTCGCTTAAGAATTCACAGAGCGACAGAAACAGAGTATAAAGAACACCAACACACCTCGCGAATCAACACATTTCTTTCCAAAAATCTGCGAAATATGAGCTCCGATTATCCCCAAAAATCGCTCCAAATCAAGCAGAACGACAAATTCTTCTCCAAGCTTCTAAGCAGAGAAAGCTCCAGAGCCAATTCCTCTTCCAGATCGGTCTACTATGGCGGATTCGCCGGCGCCGTCCCCTTCGATTGGGAATCTCAGCCAGGTACGCCCAAACACCGATTCTCCGACCACCTTACGCCCCCTCTCACTCCTCCTCCCTCTTTCTTCTCCGATTCCGCTAAAAAACCGCCCAAAAACCGCTCCAAATCCCTCAATCTCTTCCACATCTTCTTCAATCCCAAGCGGAAATTCGATCTGTTGGCGCCGCCGTTTT